CCCACACACACACACACACTCTGAGTCACTGTTAGTAAGTCACACTTAGAAAACAACAAGTTAGCCTGGGTAAATAGAAGCACATCAGCACAACAGCTAGCCTTTTAGAGCTGGGAGAAAAAGCCAGGTGAGAGTAAACAGGAAACAAACTAGAACCAGCCAATGGCACCCTCCAACCAACTTTGCTCTTTTATTTAGTTTTAGTAAGAGTTTTATGGCACTTGCAACACAATAAGATCATGTAAGTGCCAAAAAATAGATGTATTACACGAAAATAACATACACAAAAAAGGAGGAGGAGAGATAAGGACGATAGATGTTTTATAGGAAAGAAAGAGCAAACCATACCAGAGCATCCGCAAACCACCCACACGAATTTGGAGTAAAGAGAAACACATTGCTATAACAATAAAAACCATAGAGTACAGGGAAAGAGCAAGACAGACAGACAGACAGGGATTACAGTCAGAGGGAGAGAAAAGAAGTTCTCCTGATAACACCAAACTTGGAGCACTGAGTCTAACTCTAAGGGCACCATAATGTCCATCTCTTGTCCGACAGTATATCAAATTACATTACAGCCCACTCCCAGAATTCAGTGAAACAGTGACAGTTACAGAAAGACATGGTAAACGGGAACCTGAAGAAAGACAGCCACAGGATTTGCACACAATTTAAAAATAATTAGGTCGCCAAACATTATCTAAGAAGAGACACTGTCAAGAAATGGAAAAAAACCACACCAGATAACCTGCCAACCACCCAGATAACCTGCCAACCACCCACGGTAATAGAGACAAAAACAGAGAGATAAAAAGCTGGAGCTACTATTATTACTACTTGTGTAACATCATTGACTTTTCGCCCTACACCTTACAACCACAAGATACACTGCATTCCATACACAGAAAAACGATTCAACAATAAAAACACTCTGTTGTTTACCAGAAGCAGACATGATAACAGACAGCAGCCAGTTTATCAAGCACAGGCAGTCACATTGAATAGAAGAAAGAGCAGACCACATACAAAAGGGCTCCCATGAACAACCCAACAAATACACTACAAAAAAAAACCAAAAAGCTAAATTTGTATTTAGTGAGTGTTTTATGGCACTTGCAACACAATTAGATATAAGTGCACTAGATTAAAAAAAAGGTATTCCAAAAGAGAGACACAAACACAAAAAAGGAGGAGAAATAAGGATGATAGATAGGTGTGTGATAGAAAAGAACGAGCATAACACACCTGAGCATCCACCAACCACCCACCTGCAAAGTGTGAAAAAAAAAAAATCCCCCACAGTAGACTGACATGTGACAGAGGCAAAAAGTGAACAATTACAAGTGCTGAGAGACAGCCCCCAGACAGGGACTCTTCCAATACTGACCTGTAATAGCGAGATTGGAGGTAGGTAGAAGGTAATGCCTTAGACACATGACTAGCTGATCCAAAATCAATCACTTTGACCCTGTAGGGAAACCTTACAGGGTCCACCAACATGATGTTCTCTGGTTTCAGGTCAGCGTGAATTAATCCAAGCTCTTTCAATTTACCCAAGGCATGCAAAACCTGTCAGGGAAAAGACAAATATCAGTAAGTATAAGTAACATGTCTAGATACAAACAGAAATATGCATTCAACAATACAAGTCATTTAAAGATGATAAGGAAATAAATAGGACCAACCAGTAGCACACTCCAAATTTGAAACACAGAGCTTGGTTAAAATCACAATATATAATGCCTACTTTTGGCTTTCAGCTATCAATTAATTTCAAATGAAACTAATCACCAAAATCTAAAACACCATTACTCGTCACTTTCACTAATCATACTGACAAGTGCAAGACAAAAATACATTTGAAATTTAAACGCGCATACTGCACTTCAAAGTTGCGAGTTAAAATATCAAAAATAATGTTCTGTATAAAATCTGAGAGATTCTGATTACTGCTTAAACTAAGAGAGAAAACATTTCAGTGTACTCACTTGATAAGTGATGGGCCGAATGTACTTAAGGGGGAGAGGCTGGAATTTATTCTGCTTGAGGAAATCATACAAGTTTTGCTCAAGCATTTCAAAGACAAGGCAGGTGTGATTCTTGTGCTGGAAGCACTCATACGCTCGTACAAAATTGTAGTCATCTGCACTCTCCTGAGCAAGCCTGGACAGAATGCCCACCTGGAAAACAAAAACAAAAACACTCACATCAAATGTCACCTTAAAAAATTTTCAACCATTCCTTCTAATAATACAAGCTTTAACTTACCAGAACAGCTATAGTTGAAGCACAATTCTTTGACTCATTTTATAAATTTATTCAAGCTTGGTATGCTTGGTCGGTGTGCACACAGAATGTCACATAAAAGTGAAACCAAGCAAGATTTGTTTTGTTATTGTGGTTAAGAACAGGGAAAAAGCAAGACAGACACAACAGAAGTAAAGAAAAGAAGTACTACCTCCAGTGGCACCCTCCAAAGAAAGGCAAGAGACTGAGATTCACACAACGGTAAAAATATTAAATCTTAAGACATTAAAAAAACTTTGGAATTTAGATTCTTTAAATCATGAACAGCTATAAAAAGTAACAAAAACATCAACTGATCCCTTAATTTTCAAAAAGAGCAAAGGCATTCACTGAACCAACTCACCTCAATTTGCCCTTGTCTGGCATACGACGGATGATTCTTGAGAATCTTGATGGCGTAGATTTCATTTGAATGGTGCTTCCAACATTTGCACACCTGTCCAAACGTACCACGACCGAGGAACTCCAACACCTCATAGGCAGCGGTCTGAGAGTAGAGCACCTCATGCTGCACTAACTGGTAGTCTCCTTCCGAGTTGGCAGAGCCAGCATTGGCCGCCGCCTTTTTATTGCTGGTGGTGTTGGTGGTGGCTGCGGTGGTGGTCGGGGCTGTGCCGCTCTCATCTTCACTGGAAATGGCGTGCACTTCCGTCAACTGCATGAGATTGTTGTTGTTGTGGCGATGATGTGAGCGAACACCAGTGGTGGTGGTCGAGGCCCCAACAGCCGCTGCTCCTGTGGCTGTGCTACTAGTGGCACTAGAGTGTTGTGAGTTGGTGGCCGCTACAGCGGCACGAACTAGCACAGTTCCTGCACTACTGTCAATGTCCCCGGCACCCTTCCTTTTGACCCCCCGAGACACCAGCGTCGAGGAAGGCTGCTGCTGCTGAAGTTGGAGACTGTGTGCAGAGTGTGAGGGCAGACCCTGAGAAGAGTAGTGGTGCTGGTGATGCCCTTTACGGGCAGACACCGACGCTACGGATCCACGGCTGAAATCAGCTCTTGTTGTTTCACTGTGCTGAGTGTTACCAAGGCCAGACGAAGCCCCCGATGATGCAATTTGTGAGAGCAGAGCTTGATAGTCTGCGTTGTGTGGTTCAGGCACAAGGCTGTAGCCGCTGCTTGCATTGTGATTGTGAATGCTGTCATTCAACTGAAAAACGTTGCTTGTACTTCGGGACGACACTTGAGATGTCAGAAAAGGTGAGAAGGCTCGATGTGAAGAAACTACATGCTGCTCATTCGGCAGCGACTCCACTTTAATCTTCTTGAAATTACTGAATGCACTGATCTTGGCGTAGTTTGGTAGGGTTTCTTGCATCAGTGCATTGGTTCACTGCAATCAAATAAAGATAATGATTTTACATACAGTATGAGGGCAACTACACGAGCAATCATCATGTCAAATCAAATAAGCCTTTTCCATGTAAGTAAAACAAAGATATTTTTTAAAAAATAAAAAAAACAACAAAGCTATTTTCATATTTTTGTAATAAAGGGCCCCAAATGCAACGGGG